AATAACTGAAGCAGGAAAATTGAATTTTTGCCTCCAAGACTTTTTCCCCCCCAAAGACGGTGTGTGTGGACAGTTCATTCAGTGTGTTTATTGAATTAAACACTGTTTACAGATGCTTAACCTATCAGGAACTTAATGCACTGGCCCTCGCTTGTTCCACTACACTAAAGCCTGACAAAGAGCCATTGTGGAGTAATAGAAATATTTTGAGTGCCCAGTAACGGCTTAAATGTACCATATCAACATCCTCTTTGCTTGGGCAAATGTTTATTTGCAAAAACAGGGATCCTGTCTATCATCTATAGAAAAGGCTATGAATGGTTTTATGTCATAATTTTCAAGGGCAGATAAATGAGTATAGGTCATAACTAATCTAAGGCAGACAACATTATCAGAGGCCTACGTGAAGTGATATTGATTTGTTTAGCACAACCCTAAAGTGATATAGAGTGGAATCAGATTCCAACATTTAGAAAATAACCAAGCCGATAAATTCTTATTCCTTCTGAGTGAGGAAGTCAATTCTGTTTTGGAGACTATACACTTTCTGATTGCATCATGATAGCAGTGGTTAAGTTTCACCTCTGCTGTGAAGCGTCAGGCTAAACGTCCCATAAAAAACGTCCTTGGGCCAATGCAGTCACGTGGGTTGTCTAGACGCAATATATGGTTTATGAAGCAAAGTAGGTTCACTATACAACCCAACTGCCAATGGTGAGCAAATTGAGAAGCTTCCCATCCATAAATATTCCTTAACAGCAATGAAAGTATATTTTGCATCATTTCTTATTAAAAATATATATATTTATATCTCTTTGACGCTGGACTTATTGAGCTGTTTTTCATAGAATAATATGAGATGAGTCAGTATCTGTCTCTCAATGAAACTGCGCCTGTCACAAATGTCAAGACACATTGTGGCATTGTTCCTGATATGTTTGTCTAGCTGGATTAATGTGAGAAATATTCCATGTGTGTCATGGAAAAAAAAAATCAGGCATTGTAGATGAACTCTTAATTTTCCATTGACGTAAAAGTAAGTAGGTAGGCGGTTTGTTTGTCTTTCTTTTGAATGACATGCTGCTTACATCAGTGAGGGTCAGACTATCATTATTATAATTTGATTTAAACTTTATATTAGTAAAGTAAAGCATAAATGGCTGCCCACTGCTCCGGGTGTGTGTTCACGGTGTGTGTGTGTTCACTGCTGTGTGTGTGCACTAAGGATGGGTTAAATGCAGAGCACTAATTCCTAGTATGGGTCACCATACTTGGCCACATGTCACGTCACGTCACATTTTATGTTGCAGTTCTGAATTAAATTACTGGCAACCAGTTTTAATTGACTTAATAGCCAATACAAAATTTTACTTTCATTCGGCGCTTGGCAAGTGGTAATTCTGGACCCTGCTGACAACAGACACTTTAGCTCCAATTAAAGGAATAGGCCTGAATGATCCCATGTGTTTTAGCATTTCATTATAACCGTTCCTCATATTTCAGCGGCTCAAACTGTTGTTGTGATGCGTGGCGGCCCAAACTCAACAAGTTAGTTAGCAGCTTTCATGAGCAGGTGTTCAGCACTCTGTAACCCACATCCCGCCTAGGGGACCACTCGCCAGAACACTTAATTACATTCCCCACACTTCCTCTGTTTGCTCATTTAGATGACCACAAGCGCCAGGAATGACAGGTGGCTCCACTTTGGCATCCAGGTATTTAGGTGAGATTTGAGGTAAAAGTCGGGGGTCAGTCATTTAGCAAGCCATTAATCAGTTAGAAGGGCGTTCAAGAAAACCCTCGTCTCAATGTACCAATGATGAACAAATATCTGGCCTTACAGCAGATGCCGAGTTTCAAGTGTGACAAACGGAAAGCACCTGACAGATGTTTGAAGAGCTTTTAAATAATGTTAGAGATTCTTTGCAACTTCAGAACAGACTGTGTGGATGTTATTTCATTAGATGGCAAAATATGTAGCACAAGTGAGAAAGATAGCACAAGCAGTTTTTTTCCAGTTTCCTTGGAAAAAACTTTTCTTGCTAGTAGCTTTGGAAATTTGATTAAAGTTTTGGTAACAATTTACAATAAGGTTACAATAAGGTTTCATTGGTCCATATTAGTAATGCAGTTAAAATGATTAAACAGTGAGTAATACATCTAGAGCATTTATTAATCTTAGTGTTAATTTAAATACATTATTAAAATCAAAAGTTCTGTCTGTTAACACAAATGTATTTTTGTTAACTAACATGTTAACAATACAATTGTATTAACAAATATTATCAAATGCTCTAAAAATGCTTATTGTTAGTTAATGAATTTACTAATGATAACAAATGAGATTTTATTGTAAAGTTACCAAAATGTATTTATATTTATTTTCATTATATATTTATAATATAAATATATTTTTATTTTACTCAATTTGTTGAAAAAGTGCAAAATAAAATTAAATATAAAATAACTTAATTTTATATTTTACTTTATATAAAAATAAATATATTTATATTTTACTTTATATATAGTTGTTTTGATGAAACAAACATAAAAGTGCATCTAGTGGGGAAAATAACTTCAAACACAAAATGCATATTAAAGACAAATAATAACATTGAAAGAGTATAGCACAGTCCATGATGAAGTCCAGAAAGAAAGCAACACACCTTAAAAGCGGATGCAAACAAGGAAAAATTATGGCAGACCACCGCAATGCAACATCCAGTCCCTGTGAGCCGGTACAAACCACCAACAACTCGCAAAATATGTTGCCATTAAATCCAAAAACATCCATTTCATTTGATGTATGTAGCTGGCCGACATGTGTCAGTATGAAACCCTGACCACTGGGATGAATAGGAATGGGCAAAACAAACAAAAATTGTATTTGTATTTGGGATACTTGTGTACCATTTTTCTAAAAGTGTAGGACACCTGTGTTTATGGATATATAATAGGCCTGTTATATTATATATATATTTTTCGAAGTTGTTCTCAGACATTTAGCGATTTCTGAAAAGCTAGCAATAGCAAGCTAGCTTTGTAAGCATAAGATTCCACCCTCCCTGCAAATCAATCTCCAAAGCCACGCCTCCTCCAAAACACATAACCACACACAAACAGGCCAGAGAATAACCAGCGAAATGATGAGAGAGGCTGTTGGTGGATTGTTGAGTGCAAAGCTGTCAGATTACATTGTCTCATTACAGTACATAGTGCATAATATTACAATAATAACACCTTCCATTTTCTGAACTTTAAAGGGGACTCAACCCTCTTTTTAGTTGTGGTATAATGTCTCAGTCTAAATGACATTCACATTGGGGTGTTAGGAAGCCAAACAAATTAGAATATAATAATAATAACAATAAATTGATATTATTGTTATTCCAATGACAGTAATAGCCATATATTGTAAAACAGTTGCACTGTAATATAAATTAAAATTAATATTTTGTAGGTATATTATTTTTTGCTTTACACTACACTAGGTAATTATATATTTTGAATTTGGACTGCAGTAACGTTACCCATTTAAACCTCTAGCTGTCAGCAATTTATTCTGCACTTTTAAGCTTTTATTTTGACAAAAATGGCAGTAGAGCTTTTATTTTGAAGGGAAATTCTAGCTTCAGTGAGCTGCGGAAAAAAACTAACTGGTGGGCGTTACATTTCCAAACGCATGTTAAACTAACAGCACATGCAATAAATGAGTTCACTGCATTCATTCACTGTGAATGGAGCCGTTCTGAGGCTTGGAAAACGCTGGATCACTGGCTGATCACCTGAACAAAGTGCGCGCTTCGCTTTGAAATGTGCAGCGAAAACAGACGTGATGAAGGGATTAAGCCATATTGTGCTTTCGGTTTTAGTTCGTTTCACAGATACTGTGCCAAAGCATAATGGCCCAAAACACAACTATAAAGACCTTTTATGTTAAAATAAGAAGTTTAAATATATTTTAAAAACTACATTGTTTGCCTGAAAGACCTATCGTTTCATATCGTCATTTGACCACGATGATATTATATGATATGATAATGCCGTTACATCCCTAATATTTAGACCATTTAACTTAGTAATTGCTATCAGAATGTGAAGAGACTTTCAAACAGCATAACAAAAAATGTTTTGGAAACAAATCACCTATCCTGCCTTTAAAAGAATTTAATTAGGATCAGCTGTAATTGCAAAAATACCTCGGAAAACATTCTATTAAATTGTTTTTTATGTATCTTGTTTCTGGGACCTTCTTGATGTGATTTTTTACGTCGTTCATTAAGTATAGCTGGACTTTGTTCACCTCTGCCCATTACTGTGCTATTGTGCTTCAACAGTGAGGCAGCTCACATTACAACCTCTCGTTTTACCCTGGCAAATCGGTCAACACAGTTGCCCAGGTTCATTCTCTAGGGCTGTTTCAGCGCGGATAGCTTGGCATCCCTCCTGCCCTGCGGTGGTTTCTTACCAAGCTGACGCAGCACGGCACTGGCTCTATTTCAGATACTTGTTTCTATACAGCCGCTGTGATTCGATGCCATGTCTAATGGCAGTGAAATATTAGCACCTAAGTATGCGGCGAAGAACAAGAGCAACAAGAGGGCAAGAAGTGGGTGAAGTTCGCACTGAAAAGGGCCCTGCTTTTCAAGGCCAATAAAGCATTTCAGCTCCAAATTGGCGCAGGATGCTTGTTTCTGAAATGGCAGTCCTGAATATGACATTTGTCACTAAGGAAACGCATTGCAAATGAGCATTCAAGGCACATCAGAACAGATGGCAACATATTAAAGACAGAGATGCTTTTATCTCATATGAGGCAGAGCACAGGGCAAATATGCGATGTGAGATGTTCTTTAGCATCCATCTTGCCTCACACATTCACATTGCTGCATCCCTCCTGCTGTGCTGCTCCACATCTCGCTTTCATTCTTATTTTCCTTTGTCTTATGAAACATCTTTGAATCCTTAGCTCATGTTACGTGTCTTCCTTCATTTGGCAGCTGGGACCACATATATTTTTGGGCGAGGAGGAGCACTCATCACGTACACATGGGCCCCCAATGATCGGCCGAGCACCAGGGCAGACCGTTTGGCCGTGGGCTTCAGCACCCAGCAGAGTGATGCCATCCTGGTGCAGGTGGAGAGCAGCCAGGGCCTCGGGGACTACCTGCAGTTGCACATTGTGAGTATCACAGCTCAGTTTGAAGCACTAATAGGCCTCTTAATTATTTTTATTTATTGTCCTACAATCCGCTAGATGCTCTATATTATTATCTATTATTAAATATATATCTATATTTCGGATCAGTTTGGCTGTATCACTATGAATCTAAAAGGTTTTTAAAGTCATCTTTCAGAATTTTACTTTCAAGTTTTTCATGTTGCAAATTGTAATATATTTGTTATAATTAGATATGTCAATCCGACATTTAATGCGAACTCAAAAAAAATATGTATACTTATTATTATTATTATTATTATTATCATTGTTGTTGTTGTATAATTTGCATAGTTTACAATAGAAATAATAATAGAAACAATAATAGTAGTATTAATAATAATAATAATTTATCATTTGTATAGTTTATAATATAAATAATTGTTATTATTATTGTTGTTGTTGTTTGGTTTGGTTTGTTTATTTATATAGCACAATACAGCAACAGTCGTTGACCATTGTGCTGTACAAGAAATTATAAAATCAGATTAATAAAACACCAATCAAAACAACATAAAAGTCATATGGTACAGGAGGTAGTACATACAGAGGACAACAGAGACATGCTCAGGACGACTCAGATGTTAAAATCCTTTTCTAAAAGGTGAGTCTTAAGTTTTACTTTAAACAAAGATTCTGAAGAGATTATCCTAATAGATAAAGGTACGCTATTCCACAGTTTGGGGCCGACTATGGCAAAAGCCCGGTCTCCCTTTCTTTTTAACCTTGATCTAGGAACCTTTAACAATTTCTGATTTGATGACCTTAAACATCTCGCAGATATGTTAACAGTCATGAGTTCAGATAAATAAGATGGTGCCAGACCGTTTAAGACCTTAAAAACAAAAAGTAAAATCTTAAACTCTACTCTAAAATGAACCGGCAACCAACGCAGAGAGAGTAAGACGGGGGTGATGTGCTCAAATTTACGAGTGCCAGTAAGGAGTCTAGCAGCTGCATTTTGGACTAATTGCAGGCGGTTCATATAGGAATGACCAATACCTATATAGATTGAATTGCAATAGTCCAGACGAGAAGATATAAATGCATGGATTACTTTCTCGAACTCAGCAAAGGTTAAAAAACTTTTTCCTCTGACTTAGAATTATGTATTTTTATGGTAACACTATTAGCGCAAAAATGACCGTGTGATTTGAGTTATTACTACAGTACTACAAATAATAGTCATTATGTAAGAGGCTTATTAATAAAGTTATAGGTTAGTTTAGTGGGACATTCAACTATGTGCTAGCTACATTAAACTGTATGGTATGTATGCTTGTGTGAATGCTTTTTACAAACCGGAATCTCATAATTATAGTAATTCCAACATGACATGAACACACCTTCATTTTGCTGTGACAAAACTGTAGTATGTATTATATCTGCAGGCTTTTGTGTGAGCAATGCTACTGACGTAGTCTTTGCCATTTCCATTCAGTCAGTTGGGGAACTGCTGACAGGGAAACTGATGCAAATTGACTTGGATAAAAATCTTAAGTTGAATCATTTCGGAGAACGCTTCAGGGGCTTCAGACATATGAAGCTATATTCATGGATCAAATGATGAATAGAAGCTACGTCTTTACATTCAGTTCTCCTTGATAAGATCCGAATACACCTCCTACCCCACCCAGGCAGATAGGAGAAAATTACCCCAAAAATGATGGAATCATTAATCGCTGAACAGTTTATGAAGAAAACACCATACCCCTTCATATTAATTTAGCCTATTAAAACAACATAGGGCTGAGATAGTATGACGGTAGATCAAGCTTGTAAATGCCTCGTTGACCTCTTGGCTTATTACTTGCAATTATATTTCAAGGGAGTAAAAAAAAAAAGATGCATTTTAATAAGGTTCCTCCGAATGAATAATTAATTCAGCGTGAACTGTCGACTTTCCCACTGTGAGCCTCCATGGCAGCACAGCCATAAACAGTCTGAGAGCAGCTGCTCTCCCAGACACAGACTGGGGCTTGTTTTCAGAAACTTCTTCCTCTTGTCACAGGCACAAAGCACAAGAGCCTCCCATTCTGTGGGCTGAAGGATGGATCTGTGGAGGATTTTTTACATCCTTTCTGATGGCTTTTTCTCTGTGTTGGTATCTATCAGAATGGTGATTCCCAACATGGGGGACACATGTATCTCATGGGGATTTTGTATTGCTACACATGTAGCTCTGAACACAGTACCTTTTTAAGAACAGAATATATGAATATTAATAAATAATATATTTATTATATTTTAAATTTAAGAATAAAATGTAAAATTATAAATTTGCATCAGTCAGATTTGTGGTAGAATACAGTATGTGATATTTAGTGATTTTAAATATATTAGAGATCCAAAAAAGGAAAATGTGCTGCTAATTTACTCTACCAAGATTTAGATTACTTTTTTTTCTTCAGTAGAACAGTAAAGATTTTTAGCTGAAACCGTGATGCTTGGTGACTCATAAAATGTAAGTCAATGGTTACCGTCACTTTGAGAGTCAAAAAAGTTTATCAGGCACCACAAAATTAATACCCATGGTTTCTAAAGATATATTGAGGACCTATGAGGCGATCGAAGCAAACGATCAGCCTGTGCAAAGTACTGATTATTTACAACATTATGCATGTAAAAATGTAAAACAAGTGACTACACTTTGTTTACAAAATTAATTTCTAAATGTACCAAAAATTACATAATTATGTTTGCATTGATCAGACTTTAGAATGCAGAATTAAACATTAATAATGTTTTTTTTTTCTGAAATTTTCCACTTACCTCTTTATCATTAATATTAATAGTTTGTTGTTTATGCTGATGAAGGCTATTAGCATATTTGAGCCTTACTAATGAGGCTGTCAGAAAAAAAATTGTTGGGAAACAATTTTGTATCCAAAAAACCCTGTCCTCAGTATGCCGGTCCAAGGCGATGGCATCAACCTTGATTACAGTGCTCTGTGATTTGGCTTGTGTCGTAAATAATATTCAGTTGTATATAAAAACAAGTCTGTAAACTTTATGGTAGACATAAACGGCGAGTTATGAAGGAGAGGCGTGGCAAATAGCATCTGAGGTTTCACGCTGCTCTCAAGACAACTCAGCTTACGCCTCAAAATTTGTCCTTCATGTTGCAGGATTTACTTCAGCTTGTAAATTACAAGCAAGGACAGATAATCCGATTGGTCGTGAGCATGACAGATGTATGGAATGACTGACTACGGTGGGCGTAGCAGAGCCCGATGGCCCTTAGGCAGCTGACTTCAGGGTTTTCCCACTTCTTCTCTCCTACTACTCATCCCTCTTTCTCTCTCTGATGATGTTGCTTGGGTTTGTAGCATCGTTTATTCACCCACGGACTCTGAGGTTAGATGATAACTGAGCAGAACCAGCCCGGGCTGATGAATGAGACAGAGCCAGGGGTTGTTACGGCTTGTAATGAATAGCAGACTCATTTTGTATTCCGGGTGGGTGCGTATCGATCTGAACCAAGGTTCTGGCCTCCTCCATTTTGTTGGCATCATGTGTTGAGGGTGCCCCAGGGTTCACCTGCCCACCTGTCAGGGGCACAGAGTGATGGATTAATAGAGCTTTATGGTCTTGGTGGCCATGTTAACCAAACACATAGGACCCCTGGAGAGAGGGCTTGAAATGGAGTATAGATGCCACCCCAGACTCTGACCCACTGGTCGTGACATCAGCACGGCCGGGTAGGTGAACCCGTGCCCCTGGTGCCCTCTGCCAGCTGGCATAGACATCAAAAAGAGAACGCGGACAGGATGGCAGATGCTTCAGTGGCCATTTGCTGTTGTACTTACCAATGTGTTTCTGTTTGTTTACACTGGTACATGATTACAATACACAAACAGTGAGATTCTGCTGGACTTCCTGTGATTTGGCACTGGTAATTACAGCTGTGCTGATATTCAGAATAAACGCATGGTTTTGTTGAAGTGTGATATGATGCTTTTACTCTAGAATTCCGTTTTTAAAAATGTTAATATTAAGTAATTTATTTTATAAACATAATATGGCCAGTTATGCAATTATGTGAATTTTTGCACCATCAACAGGAATTGTTCCAAAAGAGCAGAGTGAACCATTCTCTCTAAGAAACAAACAGCCGTGGTGTTTTGTTCCTGAATTAATCACTTTTTGTCATTGAACAAATCATGTCTCACTCACTTGTTGAGTGAGTACCTGAATGAGTCAGTGTGTTTAAACAAATGATCTGAATGAATGATTCAATGACTCACTCATACAGACAGTAGGTGCATTTATATAGTAGGCAAAAAAAAACAGAATTTACACTATTCACACAACAGTAGCCGAAAAGTGGCTAATATTCGTAAGTTGACACTTTACTATCCCATGAGGCTACAGGTTTGTGAATAGCAGTGAAACGACACAACTGACGCTGGTAGGTCACATGATAATGACAATATGACAAATGTACTGTAGCATGTCTAGATTACATTCATTCTACACACATCTGTACTATATTGAAAATGCTTTTTTAAACAATTACTAGTAAATATTTATTCTAAAGAAGTACCTTTGCAGTTTGGGATGTTGCCACTCACTTGTTTCTTGAATGAATGAATCAGTTGGTTTAAATGAATAGGTTGAATGAATGATTCAGTGACTCACTCATAAAAACAGTGACGTTTTGCTCCTGAATGAATTAGTGTGTTAGATCAAATTGGTTAAATTAATAATTCAATGACTCACTCATAAAGGCACTTACTTCTTTGATAATGGAATGAATCAGTGGGTTTGAATAAATTCAGTGTCTCAAAAAATCCCCACCAGTATTGCCCAGACTGACAATCTGTCTTGAAATCAACACTAACAAGCAGAGTGATAGAAGTGAAAAAAGTCCCAGTGCTGTTGAACTGTTATATCAGCACTTTTGAAACCGGAACTAGCTGTTGTATAACAGGACAAAAGCTTAGAGAGATGTTTCAGACAGT